CCCTCGGCTCTCTCGCAGCCCCGCCGGGAGTGGCGGGAGCCGGTCCGAGGAGGGTCTCCTCCGGGAACTTGGTCCCTGGTCCCCAGGTGAGCTGGGAACAGAGTTGGGGTAGCGGCCGGAGCGTGAGCGGGCGGAAAGGAGAATTGAGGCTGTGGAGCCGCTGGGGGCTATGTGGTGGGGAGGGGGGAGAACCCCTGCTCTGGGACAGGAGGGTCCCTTCCCTGTCCCACGACTGGGGCTGTAGCCACGCCTCCTCACTGGGTTCCTTGAGAGGACTGGGCAGACCCAGCCCTGTGAGCTGGACCACCAGTTAGAAGACAGAGGGGGTCTGGTGCGTTCAGATCCGAGGTGCTGTAGGATGCTGAATCCTAGGAACTGTTGAGGTTTGGGCGGGGGGGGGTGCCTTCCTAATGGGAAAATCAGCAGGTGGAATTGTCTCTTACCAAAGGGTAACCAGGAAGGCCTGAGGCCATCAGTAGCAGGTTGGAAGTGGGGCAAGGCAGGCCTTGGGCCCCACCGGGCTTAACTGTGACCACACCTGGCCTTAGCTTTGTTTGTGACGTCCCATCATCTTTCCCAGCCCTTTGGATCTTTCTGCCCATTTCACAGATAGGGAAACTGAGACCATGTGTTGCTTTGCAGTGTGACTGGAGACTGAGCCAGATCTCCTACAATAGGATTCTTTCTCTGCATTTCTGGCAGTGCCAGGGCCAAGACCTTGAGGCTCATCCAGTAGCCACTCCCCCTCCCTCCCAGAAGGCGGACCTTGCAGCCTGGGTGCCCCCACCTCAGCCCCACTGCAGAGATGCTGCAGCAGTGGTCAGTGCAGGGGGAGCAGGCCCCCGGGGAGCCAGAACCTGAGCATGCGGGTGAGGAGCTGTGGGAGCAGGAGATGAAGCGACTGCACTCCTCCCAGGAGTCCGTGCGGGTGTTGCCCTACGCCATGGTGGACAAGCGCTTCATCCGGTGGGTAGCCGAGCACCAGCACTCTGCGGAGGCGGGGCAGTGGGGTGAGGGGAGGATGCACCTGTTGGACTGGGTGGGGCAGCGGGTGGAAATCACCAGCAGTGGGCAGACTCCCCAGCAGCCCAGGTCGCAGCTCTGCCTGGCTGGGTGGACACACTGGGTGACTCAGGGACACCCCCGTCACCACCCCATCCCAGGCAGCTGCGGGAGCCCGAGGGGGTGAAGACCTCATGCTGGCAGCAGTGGCGTCGCAGGCAGGAGACTGCAGGACGGCGCCTAGGGGAGGCAGCACAGCGGCTGGCCCAGGGCTGTGGGCTCTGGGAGGGGGCTCTCTATGAGATTGGGGGTAAGACTCGAACCCCAATACCCACTTCCCGCCTTGCCCTCTGGAGTCTCAATGTCCAGTTTAGAATCCCGAGGAGGGGCTCATCCCCCTTGCCATTGCACCCTTCTGCCCTCATCAACCGACTCCCCCATCCTCACCTACTCCCCTCCAACCCCAGAACCACCCATCAAACCTTGATGGATGGTGGTGCCCCTGGTGGCTGTTAGAAGTACTGCTAGGCAAGCTTCCAGAATGTGGCCTTTAAACCGAGATCTCCTGCTGGGTTGGGTTGCTCAGCCCTCACACCCCGCACCCCTTGGATTATCAGCAGGTCCACCTGCTGTCCTCCCCACAGGCCTCTTCGGCACCGGAATTCAGTCCTACTTCACCTTCCTTCGCTTCCTGCTGCTGCTGAACCTGCTGACCCTGCTTCTGACCACAAGCCTCGTCCTGCTGCCTCTGGTCTGGCTCCACCCCCCTGACCCGGGACCCGCCCTGAACTTCAGTGAGTGCCTGGCCCATGCAGGAATAGTGCCCCGAGCCCACCCGAACCCTGGGGGACTGGTCCAGGGCTCACAGTGTTGGGGCAGCCCCGATCCTTGGTTTCCCAACCCTGGGCATTGCCCTGCTTGGGTCCAGCCCAAGCTCGCTCCCTGACCACACCTTCTGCAGGGCAGGCCTCCCGACACACCCTCAGGGTCCTGCTCAGGCCTCCCCGAGGTTGGGGACTATGAAGGGGGAGAGGCAGAACCTCAGCTATGCCTTGGGGGTCCCCTTCGTATTGGCCTCCTCTCCCTCAGCAGCCCTCCAGTGTCCTGGTGACCTCCAGTCCCAGGCTGGTGTTCCCAAGTTCCACAATCAACTCTGGAATATTTTGACTGGCAGGGTGAGTAGCTCTGTCCTGGCCATGGGGGACCTGGGGAACTGGCCTCGGGGTCAGACCCCAGTCTCCAAGGACATTTGGGCTTCATGATGGAGTCAGAGAGAGACTGAGGCTGCTGTGCACAGCTCAAGCCCATGGGCATGTGTCTCCAGCCCTCAGAGCTCAGCTGGGGTTGGGAAAAGAAGGGCAGGAGGGGAAAAGTATCCAGGCTTCTGTGATAAACACCACCCTGCTCTCATTCCTGGAAGCCACTGTCATTACTCTGTGGGCTCTGGTATCCCAGTCCTGGCTGTTCCTCCGAGCTGTGTGTCCTTATGCAAGTTGCCTAACCCCTCTGAGCCTCTGTAAAATGAGGATCTTCTGACTCCCTGCCTGATGAGGGCATTGTGAGGGTTAATGAGTTAATACACAGAAAGCACAGCTTTGCATGGACTCCTGCTCAGTGGTCGCTGTGATGTCCCCAGGCCTTCAACAACACCTATCTCTTCTATGGCGCATACCGAGCGCGGCCTGAGAGCAGCTCGGCGTACAGCGTCCGCCTGGCCTACCTCCTGAGCCCACTGGCCTGCCTGCTCCTCTGCTTCTGTGGGGTTCTGCAGCGGTGAGAGCAGAGCCCTTGCCACCACTGCTTTTCAGGGAGTCTCCGCCAGCCACCACCCCTCCCCTGGCGTGGAACCCCCAAGTTGGCAGGAAGGCCCTGGCCTCCCGTTCAGTAAGGCTCGTGGGTGGTTCCAAGGCCCAAACTCTGCATCCCCAGCTGCAGACCACCCCTCTGTCCCCACCCCTGACCCAGGCCAGGGCCAAGTCTGCACCTGGGGCTGCCAGGGGCTTCCCACCCCACAGCTGAGCGCAGGCTGAGCCCTAGCCCCCTGCCCCCTCCAGGATGGTGAAGGGGCTGCCACAGAAGCTGTTCCTGGGTCAGGACTACAGGTCACCTCTCAGTGCCAAGGTCTTCTCCTCCTGGGACTTCTGCATCCAGGGGCAGGACGCAGCCACCATCAAGAAACACGAGATCAGCAACGAGTTCAAGGTGTGTGCGGACGTGCATGAGTGTGAGGCGTGCTGTGAGTGTGACTGGGTGTGTGAGCACGTGGGGCTGCGTGTGAGCATGCAGCCTGAGCATGTGTGAGTGTGAGTGTGTATGCACGCGGGGTTTTCCAGCTGGAGGCTGGGGCTGTGCGAGTTTGCATAGCACTGGGGGTGCTCTCGATAAAGCCAGCCCACCTGCCCCCGGCCCAGGGTCACCCCAACCTGGCCTAGAACCTGACAGCCCCATGCACACCTACCTGAGGCTCTCTGCCGGCACCCTCCCCTTCCCCTTCCCCCTAGGCAGCCCCAACCTGCCTCTGCCCTGCCCCCATGCCAGGTGGAGCTGGAGGAGGGGCGGCACTTCCTGCTGGTGCAGCAGCAGACCCGGGCCCAGCGGGCCTACCGCCTGCTCACCTACGTGCGGGTCAATGTCCTCATCGGGCTTCTGGTGGCTGGAGCCATCAGCGCCATCTTCTGGGCCACCAAGTACTCGCAGGACAACAAGGAGGTATCAACTGACAAGCCTTTATTTCTGGCAAGAACTGTGGGCCCAGATGGGATGGTCCTACTTTGCAGAAGAGGAAACTGAGGCTCAGAGGGGTCAAAGGAATTTGCCCAAGGTCAGGACCATGTCAGACCGGCTCTAACTGCTGATATCCCCGCCACTGCTCTGCTGCCACTGGGACTAGTCCGTGGGCTTCCAGAGGTCAGGCCTGCCCCAGTTACACTTCAGGGGGTCGGAGGGGATGGGGGTGCTGCCGGGAACCCTAAGGCCTATGGTCATCCCCTTACCTGCCTTTCCCCGCAGGAGTCCCTATTTCTGCTGCTTCAGTACCTGCCCCCTGGGGTCATCGCCCTGGTCAACTTCCTGGGTCCCTTGCTGTTTGTTTTCCTGGTCCAGCTAGAGAACTACCCTCCCAACACGGAGGTCAACCTCACCCTCATCTGGTGAGCACCACCTTCGGGGTGGCAGGTGGGAGAGTGTGTGGAGAGCAGATAAGGGCTGTATCCTTGGTTATCACCTGGCACTGGGGGCCTCAGCCAAGGAAAGCAGGCAGCTGCTCCCAGTGCTAGTCTTGGGGGTCCCAGTCTAAGGTTTTCCAGTCCTCTCCATCCAGAGCAAGCCAGTGGTCCAGACCAAGTGCTGGCCTTGCCAGGGGGCATTGGGTACAACAGCCACACACCTCGGAACACAGCTCCCTCCCATGTGCCTCACCTTGACAACCCTCCTGACCTATGCAGTCAGGACCACCCTCATCCCTATGGGACAGATGAGGAAACAGGTTTGAAGAGGCCGAGTGCCTCGGCCAGGGGAAGCTCACCGTGCCTGCTGGGTGCATTGAGATGCAAGCCCCCTCTACCCCCAGGCTCTGCTCTGTCTCCCCTCTCAGGGCTCAGGCCATGCCTTGGACCCACCCGCAGGACCCCCCCTCCCCCTCAGCTCCAGCTCAGGCCTTCTCTGCGTGTGCAGGCACACCCCTCACTGGGCAGGGCCTGCCTTTCCTTGTCCGGAGCCCACTCAGCGTCCCTCCAATGTGGACTGTGTTTGGTCTGAAGCTTTATTTTTAGCGTGAGCACGTTGTAAAAAATTCAAAATGCTCAAAAGGATGAAAGATTAAAAAGTAAGACCCCACCCACCCCTGCGTCCCAGCCTCCCAGCCTCCCTCGACAGAACCACTGTCCCCAGCCACACTCCAGCCACGCATAAGCACTGAAAGTCTACGTGGGGACATGACGTGCAGGCGATGGTTTTGTTAACCCACCCTGCCTGGGTGATTGGTCACGCATCGCTCAGGAGTACGCATGCATGCTTTTGGGATACGTGGGGCAGTGTAAGTGGACTAGGGCATTAACGAGCCTTAGAGGAAAGAAAGGTCTCAACTCCGTGAAGAATATAAAGGCCCTTATGTGCTCTGTGTGGGAGGAGGACGGCTGGATGTGCAGTGTTTCCCAAAGTGATTTTAAAATAGTGTGAATCATCTGGAGACCAAGATTCTAGGGAACACACTTTGGTTAACTGCCACGGATGCGGCTTTGGAAGGAGGCTGGGTTCTGGATTTAGAGGGGGCTGGGCCCGGGAGAGGCATGATCTCCTGCAGGTGCCCCTGGCCCCTCCCCCTGACGCAGTCCCCACCCCCTGGCCCCCAGGTGCGTGGTCCTGAAGCTGGCCAGCCTGGGAATGTTCTCCTTCTCACTGGGCCAGACTGTGCTGTGCGTCGGCAGAAACAGGACCAGCTGTGAGTCCTACGGCTACAACGCCTGTGACTACCAGGTGGCTGGGGGCTCCGCCAGGGCCTGTCCCTCCTGTCCTCTGCAGAACCCCACCTCCCTGTGCTAATTGTCCCTCTCCCAGCATGGCCTTTGCGAGAGGCTGTGGGCAGAGCTGCCCGCCCAGCAGCCACCTACAGGGGGCGCCGTCCGCATTACACTGCTCTGCGCAGGGCAGCCGCCCTGAATGTGGGTTTCTTTGCTCAGATCTTATCCTTGAGGCCAGGGTTTTAACTTAGCAATCATATCAGACTCCAGGCTTCTGTACCACACAGGCCCCCTCAGCGGGAGGGTGAGGGGTGGCTGGGGAACGAGGGTGGTGACAAGCGCCCCCTCTGACCAGTGCTGGGAGAACTCAGTGGGAGAGGAGCTGTACAAACTCAGCATCTTCAACTTCCTCCTCACGGTGGCCGTCACCTTCCTTGTCAGCCTGCCTAGGAGGTGAGCCACCTGGGGACACGGGGTGGCGGGGGGCGTGGGCACATCTGGTGGGAGCCAGGGGTCACAGCCAAGGGTGAGCAGCTCTACACGCGTGTGTCCATGTGAGTGAGTGAGCGAGCGGTGGTCCACGCGCTCCTCCCGGGCAGTGGGAACCTGGACGCTCCCCTCCCCCAGGCTGCTGGTGGAGCGGTTCTCAGGCCGGTTCTGGGCCTGGCTGGACCGGGAGGAGTTCCTAGTACCCAAGAACGTGCTGGACATCGTGGAGGGGCAGACGGTCACCTGGATGGGCCTCTTCTACTGCCCCCTGCTGCCCCTGCTCAACAGCGTCTTCATCTTCCTCACCTTCTACATGAAGAAGGTGAGGGCTGGGGCTGGGGGTGGGGGATGCACCTGTGTGCAGGGCGGGCCTTGGGTCCTGCTTCCGCCCCACCAGTCACTTCCCGGAGCGTCTGCAAACTGGGCCCACAGCCGCATGTGTTGTCCCTCGCTCCCCAGTACACGCTGTTGAGGAACTCCAGGGCATCCCTTCGGCGATTCCGAGCCTCCAGCTCCACCTTCTTCTTCCAACTGGTGCTCATCCTGGGCCTGCTCCTGGCCGCTGTGCCCCTGGGCTATGTGGTTAGCAGGTGAGGGGAGCGGAGGGACCGAGGCTGCCAGGCTAGCTGATCCTACCCTGGACCCTGACTCCAGCCCTCCTCTGATCATCTCTCTGCAGCATCCGCCCCTCCTGGGACTGCGGCCTCTTCACCAACTACTCGGCCCCCTGGCAGGTGGTCCCGGAGCTGGTGGCCCTCCGGCTCCTGCCCCCGGGCCAGCGCATCCTTCACTACCTCGGCTCCCAAGCCTTCAGCTTCCCCCTCCTCGTACTGCTCAGGTGCCTTTCAGGGCAGCAGGGGCCAAGGGTGGGAACACAGGGTGGGGGGCCTTCCTTCCTTGGCACCCCCTGCCAGTCTTGGGATCCAGGAGCCAGGCAAGGGGAGCCCAGGGACACAGCAGCGGTCCAAGGGCTGGTGGCCTGGGGGGTCCCCTGGGCAGCCCCCTCAGGGCCTCACCTGTAAAGCCAGCACCTCACAGGACCACTGGGAAAGCAGCAGGAACGCTGAAACCCTGCCATCTTTCTGTTACTGATTGCCTTCCCACTTGGAGTAGAGGGGCTGAGCGACCCACCAGTGGCAGGAGAGGAGAGAGAAAGCCGTGCCTGGGAGCCTGGCAGAGAGAAGACCCCAGGAGGCCTCTTTTAAAAGACTAGGGTTGCGGGGGTGGAGGGCGTGGCTCAGCGGTAGAGTGCCAGCCTAGCGTGCACGGGTCCCGGGTTCAATCGCCAGTACTTCCACTAAAGGACCTAATTACCTCCTCCACCAAAAAAAGTTTACCTCCATTTAAAACTGGTGAGGAGGAAGTACGAGGTCGGGGAGGAGGGTGACTGACCTTGCGTCCTTTGTCCAAAGCCTTGTCCTGACCGTGTGCGTCTCCCAGTCCCAGGCCAATGCGAGGGCCATCCGGGGGCTCCGGAAGCAGCTGGTGTGGGTGAGTGCCCGCTAGACTGGGGAGTGGCCCCCGATTGCGGGCGAGACCCTGAGGAGTGTGGTCTCAGGCTGCGGACTAAAGCGAGGACGGTGGAGGGAGGGAACGGGCTTCTAAGGCTTGGCCTCAGGCCGGGAGCCAGGCGACAGGAATGCAGCTCTAGGCTTGGGGATCCGGTTTAATAAACGTGTGTCCTTGGGCTGGGGTAGGAGGCGGGACTCTGGTGGGGGCGTGCTCTGTGACCAGGCTGGCGCGGGACCGTGGCGGGGCGCGGCCTCGGGCTGGGGTGAACTCTGGAGAGGGCGCGGTCTCTGGCTTGGCTGGGGTGGGGCCTGGCCTGGGCGGGGCCTCTGGGCGTGACTGTAGCGGGGTCGGGTGGGAGCTCTGGGCCCGGCGGGACCGCGGAGCTGCAACTGCGGTGCCGGCTCCTCCCCGCGCCGGCTGGTGGGAGGAGGCGCCTCTCCTAACCCTGCTGCTCAACCCCCACCCCCAGCAAGTCCAGGAGAAGTGGCACCTAGTGGATGACCTGTCGCGACTGCTGCCGGAGCCGGGCCCCGGCGATTCTCTAGGACCCGAGTCCCCTCTCTCCCGAAGTTCGCGCCCGCGATCCTTCTGCCCCGGGTTCCCGTGCCCAGGTTCCCCGGGATCCAGGTCCCCCAGGCCCGGGCCCTCCCTCAAGGATCTCACAGAGTTGCGAGGTGTCCCGGTCGCCGCCCATAGATTCCGCTTCCCCAGCGGTTCGAAGCTATAGCAGCGTCCCCCGCCTCCGCCGGAGCCTCCCCAGGGTCCCACGTGCGCCCCGTCGCCTCACGCCCCTGACCCCTGGTGGCCACCAGCCCTCTCCGCGGCCCTCCAGCAGGGTGCTCCAAGGCGGGGTGCATACACCTAGGGACAGCAGGAAGGAGATGTGGGAGCTTATGTTTATATTTGAACCTCAGCCCGTTAAAGCTTCTGTTTCTGTTTGATGTTGGATAATATACATAATACATTAGTATAGTAGCGCGTGAGTGCGGTTTATGGACACAGCCATTGGGAGAGCGCGGCAGTTTACTGTGGGGAGTGGCCTTAGAAAAGTTTGGAGAGCGCCACCTATGGGAAGGGGAAGGCCTAGCCACGGTGAGAGCAGACCCGCGCTGGGGACCTGCCAACCCCCCTCCCCTGTTATTCCTGCTTTATCTGCGAGACCGCTGAGACCCACCGAGGTTGAGAGAGAGCGAGGGGCAGAGCTCAGGTGTGACCTGCATTGAGACAGAACCGGCGGCCCAGGAAGGTGGAGCTGCGTCTAAGATTCCCACGCCTCCGGTCCCCGACGTGCTCAGCCTCTGAGAACACCTGAGAAGCTGGCCCTGTGCCAGAGAGTCTGCTGTGATTGACCAGGTGCGGCCAGCAGCCGGGCACTGGGACTTTCTAAATCTCCCAGGGGGCTCTCGCCAGCAGCCGGGGTTGAGAACTGCTGGCTTAAAGAGCTGTCAGGAGGGACGGTTAGGAGAAACCCCAGGATGTGCTTGGAAAGCCCTTCCCACATGAACGCAGGAACCCAGTGCCTGGCTGGGTTCCTGGCATGGACACGGCATTCGGGCGGCTCTGGCCTGGTGTCCTTAGCCCAGGGGCTTCACGTGGTCATTAAAGGCTTGGCTGGTTCAGCTCCTCCTGTCCCCGTGCTTCTCTCACTCACCCAGCACCACATGACCCATCAGTTTGTCAACAACGGCCGGGCCCTGTTCTGGGGCTGGTGATGAGACTGCGAGGGGAACACATGGAGCTGTATGCTTGGTCTGGGGAGGGCCGCCGCCAGACCCTGATGAAAGGGACACACATTAATTAGCAGCTTAGGGCCAAAGTGTCTTCCCAGACCAGCAGCACCAACATCTCCGGGGAACTTGTTAGAAATGCCAGTTCTCAGGCTCCACCCCCCAAGGGTGGGGCCCAGCCATGCGTTTCGGTTTCGGATTGGGGGGGGGCGGTAATTAGGTTTCTTTATGTATTTTTTATTTATTTTTTTTTTTGGTGGAAGTACTGGGGATTGAACCCAGGACCTTGTGCATGCTAAGCACGCACTCTACCACTGAGCTATACCCTCTCCCCAGTGAGGTGTTTTAATGAGCCCCCGGGAGGTGGCCGATGGGCACTGACTGGGAGAACCTGCAGCACTGAAACATCAAGGGCCTTCGCTTAGCACCTTCACCTGCCTTCAGAGAGCCAGCCAAGTGCATCACGGGATGTGGGCGGGACGAGCTTTCAGACCTTGGGGAACTCAAACTGGGCTTCAGTTTGCTCGACCAAAGCCTGGAGATGACACCACCCTCCTCTGAGTGGTTATGAGGACTGAGTGAGCAGTTCCTTATAAAGATGGGTGTCTTGCCCTTCTGGGGCGGATAGTTGAGGTCCTATTACAATATGGTCCTTAGCCTAAAGGAGTGAAGTAGGAGAGATGGGAAGTGGCCCCAGTGGCCCAAGGGACCATGCCTGCCCAGCAAGGCAACTGGGGCACAGGGAGGGGCTGTCAGCACCAGCAGGAGGGTTTCTTGGAGCAGGTGACTAGTGGGGCTTGGGAGGAGGGCGGAGTCATGAGAGATAAATGCGCAGGGACAGCCAGGGCAAAGGTGTAGAGGTGGGTGGTGCAGGAAAACTCCGAGTCAGGCTTCTCGACTGGGCTGTGGGGCCCGTGAAGACAAGCAGAGTGAAGAGGGAGCTGGCACACCTAAGACTGGGCTGGGATGATTTTTTTGTAGGTGACGGGGAGCCAGGGGCCGGATACCAAGCCTCCCCACCAGCAGTAAAGACACACCTGGGCAGGGAGAGGCCCATGGGGGTTACTGTGAAGTGAGGGTCCCTCCAGGGGCCAGAGCTCATGCAGATGGAGGAGGGCAGGAGCCCCGGCGCCCACCTAGCAGGGGTGGTTTCTGGACTCATTCCCCGCCCCAGCCCTGAGGGGGCACCCAGCTACGGGACCTCCCAGCTCCGCAGGCCAAGGCAGCCCAGCACAGCCCACCCCCCACCCGGGACCCTCCCAGGAACGTGACGTGCTGGTAAGACTTTTCATCAGTCATAGAGGAGACCGGCCCTCGGTGGGCAGAAGTCACAAAGCATGAGCCTGGGGCGAGAGTATAGCTCAGTGGTTAGAACACACGCTTAGCATGCACGAGGTCCTGGGTTCAGTCCCCAGTACCTCCATTAAAATAATTAAATAAATAAACCTAATTACCCCCCCAAAAAAGATAGAAAAGCATGAGCCTGTAGTGGGTAACAAGAAAGCTGCACCCCAACTCCACTCAACCTGGGTGGCCTGGTATGGCCTCAGTCCTGTCCTCAGCTGCAGCCTGTGGAGAAGGCAGGACGCACCAGAGAAGCAGCTCTCATCTGAGGCACACTGGGTTGGGCAGGAAAGATGCGCCTGTCCCTCCAAGGCCTGGAGGAATTGTCCCTCGTGTGCCCTCGCTGCTCTCTGCTCTGACTGGCTCCCCAAACACGCTGATGAAACGGGGTTGGGGAGGGGGCTTCTCATGAGCTGCCTTAGCTCGAATCTGATGCCCTGTGTACCACGTAGGGGGAAAAATGTGAGTTTCTGGGCCTTCAGGCAACAGATTGCCAGCAGCTGAGGGGGACCCCTCTGTCTTCAGTCCTCAATTCCTTCCTCCATCCCCTCCTAGCAGAGTGAGAACAGACTTCCTGGAAGGGAATTCCGCTAGGAAACTGAGAGAAAACTAGGTCTTGTTCCCCAAATGCAGGATAGGTGGGTCCCTAGAGCATGTCCCCAGGGACACAAGTCAGGCCTCTGGCAGCAAGGGATGGGGACTGTCTTACCCACTGGGGAGAAGGGACCTGAGGTGGCAGACAAGGCTGGTGCCCAAGGAGCTCCAGGACACTGCGCCCAGAGTCTGGCTCCCCCCACCAACCCCAACCTTGTTCTGTCCTTCCTGCTGCTCGCACGCAGGTGGGCAGGGTCATCCCGCCAGACCAGCTTCCCAACACCCCCGGATCTCGTGGGCCTCCATAGGGCCCCCTGAGCAGGGCCAAGGGGGCCGGGGGGCAGGGCTGTCATTTGCCTTCCTTGAGACAGGTGCCGGGTCCTGGGCTGGGCTGGGGAGACGGTGTGCTTGACCTGTGAGCCCTGAGGGAGAGAGGAGCTCCCACTGGAAGCGAATGGTCCCCTGGGGGCGGTACATCTTCCCCAAAGAAGGCAACAGTGCACAAATCCGAGCTCCGGGTGCTGTGGTAGCAGGAGCGAAACATGCAACTCTGAAACGTGTGACCAGGGAGTGTTTCAGTGAAGGCATTTCATTCGTTAACAACAACAAAAAAGGCCTAGCTGGGGGGCAGCCCGTCCTGCCCAGGGCTGAGGGCTCACTGAGGGATTGGCTGGGTCCCGGTCCCCACCTCACTGCTCCCTCTGCTCTCTCTGTGCTCTGGCTGCCCTGAGGGCCCGGCCCACCAGTTCTTCGAAGGACCCTCACAGTTACATCAGGCCCGCCTCAATAATCTGGGATAATCCCCTCCTCTCAAAATCAGCAGATGAGCAAAGTCAGTTGTCCCTTGCCAGCTACCATAAACATGGCGCTCCGGGAGTGAGGACGCGGACGTCCACTTCCTGGACCCAGGAGCCCAGAGTCCGAGGGCTCAGCGGCAGCGGCTGAGCGTGAGCCCTGGACGGGCTCCAGGTGCCTCCTAACTCCCGGGGGTGTGGGAGAGCTGGTGTCCTGGGCCCGGCCCTGGGGCGCTGTCACCTCCAGATTATCTCTCCATTGCAGGCACCCACCCAGGGGGCATCCAGGGGCCCCAGAGTGGAGGTGGCCTCAACCGAGGACGCTCTTGCTCTCCCGGGCAGAGGGCCCCGCGCTGCAGAGCCATGAGGCTGCTTCTGCTCCTCTGCTTAGCCGGTGAGCTGACTGGAGACCTCACTGCAGGGGGCGGGGGGGGGGGCTGCCAGGGCCTTGAGGTGGCAGGCTCAGGGTCTGGGGGTCTAGGGGGCACAGAAGAGGTGGCACCCAAAGGCACAGACACCTCCAGAAGCACAGGACAGAGAGGGCAAGATTTGGGCATAAGTCTCCGACCAGCCCCTTACTGCGTAAGTAGCCCTTTTATTGCTTTGCCCACTCTTTACTCATCTGTGAAGTGGGCTGATGGTATGAAATGCTCTGGGCTCCAAAGAGCTTCTGTACTTTCCAAATATGAAGGAGCTTGCTGAGTTCTGGGCTCCAAACGAGGCTCTCTGGGCGGTCTCTGGCCTCCCCTCCACCCTGAGCTCCCCTTTACCACTCTCCCCCTCCCCTCTCTTACAGCCACCAGCAGCTCTGCGAAGCAGGAAGGTGAGTCTCCTGGCACACTGGAGGGGGAGGGAGAATCAGAGCCCTCACCTGTGGTAGGCACCTTGGCCGGTGGGAGGGGGTTGTCACTGGTGAGTGACAACTCTAGAACCCAGCGTTGACCCCTGCAGGGCCCTGGGGTTGGGGCAGGGTTGGGGGTGGCATGCGGAGAGGAGAAGGCTGAGGAGGTGGGGGCAGTGGGGGAACAACAGACAGCCGGACAGTTGGGATGGTGACTTGGCCAAGGAAAGTGCTTGGCTTTTGCTTGGGCTGTGTGCACAGCAGGGAGTTGGCAGTGAAGAGGGGCAGAGGGCGTGTCCCTGGGCAGGTCCTCCATCACTACCCCAAGTGCCTGATCTGTAGCAGAAGCCTCTCTGGGTGGGTGTGACCCCAGGGAGGGCTGGGGGCATTCTGGCGGGCACCTTGGCCCGGGAGAAGGGTGGGGAGAGAATAAGGACGTCTGGGCTCCCCGACTCCCCCTCCCTCCCAGAGGTCCAGCCAGCGGGAGGGGGGCTGCCTTACTCTCAGAGGCAGCAGGAGGTGGTCAGGGCACCCCCTCCTCCTCTAGGGGGAGGGGATGCTCCCGGCCCTGCCCCCTCCACCTTTCTGCTCCCTCCTCTCTCCTGCCCTCTCCCCCTCCCGCCCCCATTTCTGGCCCTATGGCCCTTCAGCTCAAGGTGGCCTTTCACCCCCTTTCCAGGTCTCCGCAAGGGGGTCTACTTTCCCTCAGTTCTTGTCTGAACCTTGTCACATGGTTGCAGCCACAGCCACCTCCTCTGTTACCCTTAAGGGTGGGTCTGACTTGAATGAGGCTCAGGCTGAACTATCATTTCCTCATTTTCTTTAAAAACAAACACATCATGGTGTTTCCGTTCAAAAGGAGAACAGCCAGCGCTGGGCCCAGGCCTCCGGGTCTCCGGGAAGTATGTGGGCAGGGCCGCTCCACCAGTCCAGCCGCCCCTGACTTCTGCTCAGATGCTTGCCGAGAGGTCCTGCTTACTCATTCATTCAACCATTATGGGTTGAGCCACTGTTTGGTGCCCGGTGCTGCTCTGGACCCCAGAATGGACCCACAGAGTGCAGAAACAAAACAGATCCCTGCCCCCCGGGAGCCTACACTCTAGTGGGGCTGGAGGGACAGGTGATAATAAAAATAAGCACGGGGGGTGGGGGGAGAGCTCAGTGGTAGAATACATGTGCTTAGCGTGCACGAGGTCCTGGGTTCAATCCCCAGTACCTCCATTAAAAAAAAAATTCTACAGTGTTCTGGAATGTGATAGGTCCCAGAGAAAAGCAAGCAGGGGAAGAAGGGAAGGAGATGTGGTGGCGGGGCTGGCAGTATCTA